TTTTGTTTGAAAGGGCTTTAGAGGCAATAAAGTCTAATCTCATCTTGATGAGCATGGAGGCAACTGCAGAATCATAGAATGAGCTTATACCAGACCTAACTGATGTATCTCCCCAAATCTACTTGGCCCCTCCTGGCTCCTGGTCCTGAGTTGCTTGCTATATGGTGGATTAAGGCATATAGCAAAAAATGGCCCACATTTTTGGCTCTTTCCTGTGTCCTAGGCCTGTGCTATATAACTTTGTAGTGTCCTACTCCTATAGGTGGAGCATTTGCACCATCCCATGGCTCTGAGCTCAACCAAGTGACTTGCTTTGCTGAAGGGATGGTAGTCAGTGTGATAGAAGCAGAAACTTGATAAACACTAGCTCAGCTGAGCTTCCTCTTTCTCATGCCACTCACCAATTGACATGAGAACATGCCTAGGCTCATCTCATGAGTGATGAGAGACATCTGAAGAACATATGTCTGATGGGCTGCCCATGACTCAGGACCAGCGCTGTATAAGGCACTCCAGTTGCCCAAACCAAGACAAGCTTAGATCTTCCAACCAAGACCAGCCTAGATCTTCCAACCAAGACCAGCCTAGGTCTTCTAAAAGTCAGTTTCCTAACCACCCGCAATGATGCCTGGGATAGAGGCAACACACGGACCCAAGAACATGAGATCCTCTCCCCAAGGCTAATTAGATACTACTACTGCTCAGTGGCTAATCTTGCGTCAGTAGAGACTGACTGATTCTCTGAGGCCTCAGGATGGCCCAATTATTTGAGCAGGCCATACAGCCACCTGGTAGAAAGTTTGTTGCATCAAAACTCTTACATACTGAAGAAGACAGGAATTCATTCTTAACAGAATTAACGCACACCCACGATATGAGTATGCTTTCCTACTCTAGACAGGAATACAGGCTCTATACAGAGCCTACACTGAAGACAGTCTCTGATGGCCTCTCTTAACTTCTCATGACCCTACCACTGTTTCGTTGCCTTGATCTGACCTGTAACTCTTCTTCTGTAGAAGGAAAACAATACCTCTCTGACAAGTCTATTGAGAGTTTTGAGAACATGCTTTTCAGCTTGCAAATGCCCAATAAGAACAAAAATAAGAGCGTAACAGCAGCAAGATTTTATTGTGCTAACTGTTTTACATACACTTTCACACCAGCCCTATACAGTAGGTAGTAATGTTATCTCCGTTTTACACATGAGGAAACAATCTTATTGAGCAGAGTTTTCCATCAGGGCTGATTCTTCTTTCTGCAGGGGACATTTGACAATGTCTAGAGACATTTTTGTTGTTGCACTAGAGGTGTGGGTTGCGGGGAGTGCTACTGGCATCGAGTGGATGGAAACCAAAGATACCACTCAATATCCTACAACGTGCAGGACAACCCCCACAAAGAGAATGATCCAGCCCCAAATGTCAACAGTGTCAAGGTTGAGAAACTGCTATAGAGGGAGGGCAGTGGTTTCTTAAGATGATGAAACCAGTAGTCATTGTCAGGCTGGGAGTGGAGGGAAAGATTGACGGAAAGAAGGAAGGAAGAGTATTGGGGGAATGCTAGAATATATATCTTGTTATTGTAGAGGTCTTTACATGACTATATGTGTTTGCCAAAATTCATCCGACTACCTATAAAAATGTAAATTGGGCAGAGCATGGTGGCTCACACCTGTAATCCCAGCACTTTGGGAAGCCAAGGCTAGTGGATCACGAGGTTATGCGTTCGAGACCAGCCTGACCAACATGATGAAACCCCGTCTCTACTAAAAATACAAAAATTAGCTGGGTATGGTGGCACACACCTGTAATCCTAGCTATGCAGGAGGCTGAGGCAGGAGAATTGCTGGAACCCAGGAGGTGAAGGTTGCAGTAAGCTGAGGTTGCGCCACTGCACTCCAGCCTGGGCAACAGAGCGAGACTCTCTCTCAAGAAAAAAAAAAAAGAAAGAAAAAAAGAAAGGTAAAATGTACTGTATGGAAATTAAACTTCAATAAATCTGACTTTTTAAAGTCAGATTGAGTTCTACAAAGAACTCAAACAAATTTACAAGAAAAAGACAACCCATCAAAAAGTGGGCAAAGGATATGAAGAGACATTTCTCAAAAGGGGAAATTCATACAGCCAACAGACACATGAAAAAATGTTCATCATCACTGGCCATCAGAGAAATGCAAATCAAAACCACAATGAGATACCATCTCACACCAGTTAGAATGGCAATCATTAAAAAGTCAGGAAACAACAGGTGCTGGAGAGGATGTGGAGAAATAGGAACACTTTTACACTGTTGGTGGGACTGTAAACTAGTTCAACCATTATGGAAAACAGTATGGCGATTCCTCAAGGATCTAGAACTAGATGTACCATATGACCCAGCCATCCCATTACTGGGTATATACCCAAAGGATTATAAATCATGCTGCTATAAAGACACATGCACACGTATGTTTATTGGAGCACTATTCACAATAGCAAAGACTTGGAATCAACCCAAATGTCCATCAGTGACAGACTGGATTAAGAAAATATGGCACATATACACCATGGAATACTATGCAGCCATAAAAAAGGATGAGTTTGTGTCCTTTGTAGGGACATGGATGCAGCTGGAAACCATCATTCTCAGCAAACTATCGCAAGAACAGAAAACCAAACACCGCGTGTTCTCACTCATAGGTGGGACCTGAACAATGAGATCACTTGGACTCGGGAAGGGGAACATCACACATCGGGCCCTATCATGGGGAGGGGGGAGCGGGGAGGGATTGCATTGAGAGTTATACCTGATGTTAATGACGAGTTGATAGGTGCTGACGAGTTGATGGGTGCAGCACAGCAACATGGCACAGGTATACATATGTAACAAACCTGCACGTTATGCACATGTACCCTAGAACTTAAAGTATAATAAAAAAATATAAAAAATAAAAATAAAAATAAAGAAATCACAGCAACCCTATTTCTTTCTCTGCTTTCTTTTTCTCCATTTGACTTATTATCATATCACACACTGTATCGTCTTACTTATTTATCTTTTCTGCTGTCTGCTTTCCCCGACCCCCATGGGGTAGAAGGCAAACTACCATAAGAGAAGAAAATCAATTTTTAATTGTTTTAGTCATTGCTATATCCCCAGTGCCTAAAACAGTGCCTGGCGCATACACATAAAATATGCTCAAAAAATATTTGTTAAATTAATTCATGAATGGCTTTTGCTTAGTGAATTCATGCCGATTCCTTCTCACCCCCTTTTTTTTTCCCCGTTTACTTGAAAGCCATCTGTTCCAAATTCAATCTGAAATGTGACTGGAAACTTACCAGTGAGTTCTGCAGTCACTGGTTCTAAGAATACGCCTTTTTTAACTTTAAAAATCAAGACCAGAGAATTCATCTCAGGCAGCATTGCTGAAGGCCTTTTCTTTAATGAAAAAACTAAGCCTGTTTCAACCCACGGGCAAGTCCATAAGCAACACAGAGGGCCATTCTACTGCATCTCATTCCTGAAAGCCTCCTCTGTCTCCGTCACCACTGATTTCCTTGCTGCAGTCATATAGCCCTGTTTTGGTTTGCCTTGCGAACCTGTGGAACTACAGTACCGGGAAGACCCCATCACTCACCTGGTTGAGTCCTGTCAAGTTGTGTATGTGAAAACAAAGCCCCATAGATAAGACATAGCATAGCCAAAACCAAGCAATCAGTAACTGCAAAGGCTAAGGCTCAATTCCTCATGAAACAATAAGCTTTCGAAGAACAGACAACAGATCTTATTCATCTTTGCACTCCCATTATCTAGGAGATTGCTTAGCAAATAGGAGATGTTCAACGCCGGTTTGCTAAGTGCATAAACGCCTCTGCAGTCTTATTTCTAGATAAGTAACCACACCACCTATACATCAGGCCAAGAGGCTTGCACTCTCTCTGGGATGAGTCTGCAGAATGACTTCACGGTTGTCTGATATCAGCTGCTAGAAGCCAGTCGTACCCAAATCCATCTATGCTCAGATAGGTCTGGGACTGTTTCTGGGGGAGTGACTAGGCTCTGGTTTTCAATAGCCATCCATCAAGGACTTAGGAGGGCTTAGGGCTTTTTCAAAATTGAGCAGCAGCCTGTACAGCATTCACTGATCATGAAGGTTGCCATTCAACTCATCCCCAGGTCAGAGTTGCCTCCAAGTCCCTAATTAGGCTTTGGGTATCCTTAAGTCGACCCGACCCAGAGTGTCATGCTGTTAGGCAACTCTGAATTAATAGCTTGCTATTCTACAGAGAAGAAAAGTGGGCTCAGAAGCAAATGGGACTTTGCCCAGAAAATCATTTAACATCTGCACCTGTTATCTCCTCTACCCTCATCCCCAAAGCTTTCCCTGGCTGGCCACTTCTCAGCACGAATGATATTCTTCATGGATCTATTTCCTGGTTGCCCGGTTAATGTTGCCCTCCGCTGTGGGCCTCCTGTCACTATCACATCACTCTGCTGCGTTTTCTTTATCTAAAATTATCTGTTGATTTGATTGCTTGCTGGTTCATTGTTCCTCTCTTGCAAACTACGTTATAAGTTCTGCATTACTTCCCCAGTGCCTAGAACACCAGCAGGCATATCATAGATACTCCATGATCATGTAAGGAAATAATAGTTAACCAGATGATTTCCGCAGTTGGCAGAGCTAGCTGGAAAACACCTCTGGCTACTAAAAGGTCTTTATCTCAGCCCGGGATCTTGCAGAATGACCTACCAGTTAGTCTATACTGCCTATGAGCTGAGCACATTTTCACAACTTTGCGATCACCTCCCCGTTTCTCAGGTAAGGAAACAATTAGAAAATAGCATGCCCCAAAGCGCTCAGCCTGGAAAAGGCAGAGCTGAGACGCAAACAAAGGTCCATCCAAGGCCGAAGCTGATGCTCTTAAGTCCTCTGATGCTCCCACAGCCCAGCTGAGCCAAAGAACAACAACAGCAGCAAGAATAGTAATAGCTGACAATTACATGGTCCTTACCTTGTACCAGGCACTGCTTTAAGTGCTTTAAGAGGGGCAGACCCGGGGGTGGAAAATAAGGTCATTGCCAACAAAAAGAGTCTATCCCAGTCCAAAAATATGGTTACTCCTTCTACCAACAGTGTTGTTCAGTAAAATAAATCAGAGCACGGGTGGACAGCACCAGCCACATCATGGGGACTTCACCCCTCTCCCCTATTCTTCCTCATCCTCTTCCCTCCTGGTATGAAAGGGAGGTTCTCAGATTGAACATTCAGTAGCTTAAAGGGGACATGGCACAGTATATTTGGTAAATAGCCACCATGGGCCTTTGAGGAGAACAGAGGAGGTGTTCAGGGTGGAGGGAGGAACTCCGTACAGTCATCGTCAAGAATAGCAAGAGCCCAGATGGACGCATATCAAATGTGCTTCACGCATATGATTCGGCCACCCTCTTTTCCACCAAGCCAAATATCCATAATTTAACAGTTGCAGAATGTAAATGTTTCCTGCTGGCTTTGCATTCCCCAACTGGGGAGGAATAGTCATCACTTGCCTGGCAGACTTAGAGGCCATCTGAACACTGGTGGGCTTCTCGGCATCCTCGAAATTGCTTTTTTTAAAAAACTTTTAGATTCGGGGATATATGTGCACGTTTGTTATAAGGGTATCTTGTGTATTGCCGGGGATTGGGCTTCCAGCGTATCCATGACCCAAACAGTGAACATTGTAACCAATAGGTACTTTTTCAATACTCGCCCCACCCCACCTACTTCCCCCCTTTTGGAGTCCCCAGTGTCTATTAATTCTATCTTTATGTCATGGGTACCCGTTGTTGAGCTCCCAGGTATAAGTGAGAACCTGTGGCATTTGGTTTTCTCTGTGAGTTATAATGGTTCACTTAGGATAATGGTCTCTAGCTCCATCCATATTGCTGCCAAGGGCATGATTTCATTCTTTTTTGATGGCTACATGGTATCCGAATTGCTTTAGACGGCCATGTGCCCTCTGGTTCTAACAACAAGCAATACATGCATGAGGTTCTGTGGGGGTGGCGGGTAGCAATAGAAAGAGACAGGATATGAAGGGTCAACGGCAGTGTCAGGTGTCAGGCTGTGCAAGCCTAAATATCAAACCAGGGCAGGTCAAACACCCTCAAGGATGCATTGCAGGGACGTCGTGTGTGTGTGTGTGTGTGTGTGTGTGTGTGTGTGTGTGCGTGTGTGTGTGTGTGTGTGGTGTTGGCGAAGGGAGTGTGGAATAGTATTGCTCTTCATGACCATGGAAATACAATATTCCTGATCACTCTCTCTCACCGCAAGTTATCAACTCTTTGTGGCTCAGTCATTCATCATAGCCCTTCTTGGCCCATTTTAGGGTAACATAGTCTCAAAATGTGGCCTATGCAAACAGCATTCCGGGAATGCCCCGACAACCAGAACTAGGGAGAAATGTCATCCTTTAGTTAAAAAAGTTGTCCCACACACAAGCAACACAGCACTCGATGCTGAAATTCTACTGAGTTTTTAAATGAAATCTTCCTTTGGGATCCAAAAAGCACTTTGGGATTTTTGAAAACCTGGACCATGAACGGAAATCTGATTTTTTAATGTCAAGGGGCTAACTTGGGGCAGATTGTTTTACTCCCTCAGAGAGAACAGTTGCTGCTTTTGAATGAGTCCCAAAGGAGGCTGGTTTCGTCAGTCATTTTCCATGAAAATGGAATAAATTCATATCATAATATTTTTAAAATTCTAGTTATGTATTCTGTCAATTAAAAAGACATTTATACAACAATGACTAAAAGGAAATATGTCAAACTGTTAACTGGGGTTATCTTTTAGTCATAATTTTTACTGTCCTCTGTACATTTTTGCTCTTTAAGTATTTGTGCAATAATCAGTTATTTACTGTTATAAACTTATTATAGACATCAGGGTTTTTCTGTTTTAAATTCCAGCTCTTTGAACTTACTATATCAGATTTATTTATTCAACATATATTTTTGAAGCACCTACTGTGTGCTGTATCCAAGTTAGCAAACAACAGTCTAAAATCCATGACTACTTTGTATAAATAAAGTTTTACTGGAACACAGCCATGTCACTTTATGTATTATGTATGGCCAGTTTTGCATTACCAAGGGCAGAGTTGAGTAGCCGCCACGGAAACCAAATGGCCCATAAAACCGGAAATATTTACTCTTTGGCCATTTCTGGAAAAACGTTTGGTGACCGCTGTGCTGTGTGAAAGGCTTTAAGTTAGGTAATAGAAATCAACTGTGAACAAAAACAAAAAAGATATCTCCAGAAAAGTCATGGAGCTTATGGTTTTTGCCTAAACATTGGGGTTTCCAGTATCCTTAAAAACAGCTGTTCTGAGGGCCGGGAGCAGTGGCTCACGCCTGTAGTCCCAGCACTTTGGGAGTCCAAGGCAGGCGGATCACAAGGTCAGGAGTTTGAGACTAGCCTGGTCAACATGGAGAAACCACGTCTTTACTGAAAATGCAAAATTAGCTGGGCATGGTGGCGCGCACCTGTAATCGCAGCTACTCAGGAGGCTGAGGCAGGAGAGTCACTTGAACCCAGGAGGTGGACGTTGCAGCGAGCTGAGATCACACCATTGCACTCCAGCCTGGGCGACAAGAGCGAAACTCCGTCTCAAAAAGAAAAACAGCTGTTCTGTGGTTGCAGGAAATGTAAGCTGACGTGTGGTGCTCACAGCTTTTTTCTCTGTAGTTAGAGCAGATTCTTGATGCTCCAGAGACGGAGAAACCCCAAGTCTTGTTTTCTCTGTTAGCAATAGAAGCAGTATTATACTGTGCGCCTCCCCCTACGCCTGACACAGTGCCTGGTACGTGGTTAGGCACTCAGTAAACCTCAGCTATTATTATCAGCATTGCTGAGGGGGCTCCGAAGGGAGTCACCTTTCCTTGCATGGGACTCAAACTTAACCCGGATTTAAGAGGCCTCTTGCGTCAAGCCAGCAGAACTCACAGGTCTAGAGAATTTAAGATACTTTGCTTTATTGATCTGAAATAGCTTATTTTAGGCCCATGAAGCTGAGAGTTTCAGCTACATGCTCGTGGAAGGCAAATAATTTCTAAACTCACGCATCACCTGGTTTGGGAACAGGAAATGAGTAATAAACGAGTTTTCAGGCTGGGTGTGGTGGCTTATGCCTCTAATCCCAGCACTTTGGGAGGCCGAGGTGGGCGGATCACTTGAGGCCAGGAGTTCGAGACCAGACTGACCAACATGATGAAACCCTGTCTCTACTAAAAATATTTTTTAAAATGTTAGCCAGTGTGGTGGCGGGCGCCTGTAGTCCCAGCTACTTGGGAGGCTGAGGAAGGAGAATCACTGTAACCCGGGAGGCAGAGGTTGCAGTGAGCCAAGATCACGCCACTGCACTCCAGCCTGGGTGATAGAGTGAGACTGCATCTAAAAAGAAAGAAAGAAGGAAAGGAAAGGAAGAAAGAAAGAAAGAAAGAGAGAGAGAGAGGGAAAAGGAAGGAAGGAAGGAGAAAGAAACAGAGAGAAAGAAAGAAAAGAAAAGAAAAGAAAGAAAGAAAAAGAAAGAAAGAGAGAGAGAGAGAAAGAAAGAAAGAAAGAAAGAAAGAAAGAAAGAAAGAAAGAGAGAGAGAGAGAGAGAGAGAGAGAGAGAAAGAGAGAAAGAGAGAAAGAGAGAAAGAGAATTGAATTTCCAGACCCAGTTCGGTAAACAAGATTCCCTGTTCCCAGATGACACACCACAAACACCCTTTGACTTCCACTGAACTCCGTCTCCTTGGAAACATCATAATAGGATTAACAAAAGCCTGGAAGATTCTTAGAAGAGCTGCTGTTCTCTCCGCAACAGGATTGTGCTTAAGTATCCCATTAAAGAAGAGCACATTGGGTTGGCCGCAATGTTAACCTGCGAAGCATGTAGAAACACATGAGAAACAGGTGGGAGAGAAGCCAGGCTCAGAGCCTCCCCGGCAAAGGGAACTCTGTGGGTAAATGCTCTAATTAGGAGCTTGGATTCTGTTCAGCATTCAACAGGATCCATCCAAGTCTGTCTCCTTTATTCAATTAAGAAATGATAGGAACCTTCAATTTTCCCTATAATTTAAAATAATGATAAATGATCAGGTAGAGTTTGGACATGTTTTTAAGCTCATTTTTAAGAGAAACTTCTGCTGAATTTAATTATGCCTGCTTCTGGGAAACAGTCATCAAACAGACTATTGGCAATTCAAATTGGCTCCCCCACGCAAACACACCCTTTGTCAGTAGCAATATCTGTGGCAGAATGAGTCACTCAAAACTGGTAGGGACACTCTGCATTTCAAAGATAAACAAAACAACAATAATAATAAACCTAACTTAGTCCAGGAAAAGAGAATAGAAAGGATTCAGGTAAGTGTTCAGATTGGAAGGAGTAACAAAAGAAGAAAAAATGAAAAAGAAAAACATACACCCAGCAACACTATGGGAGATGTATTTAGTGAGAGCTGCTCCACCTACCTGTACAGAATTCACTGTACTTGGAGACCTCATTTTTTTCATCTTTTGAATTGTTTTGTCTACTATGCCTGAATTTCTTTTTCCCATGGGACATACTCTGTATTGTTCAAGATTCAACTTCCCAAGATTTTTGCTTTACCTTTTTAATTTTCGAGTTATTTATGAAATGTGGAATAAGGAAAAAGAGGTGAAATCCTACTAGCTTTGGGGGCTAGCGTGCAATAAGGTTCACCTAAGACTAAAGAGCATAGTTCTTGGGTTCATATAGTCTGAGTTTAAATCTGGCTCATCAGATAAAGGACCGAAAGTGAGTTAACTACCTTCTGGAGGTTCAGCTTCCTCATTTGCTATGCAGTTAATAGTAATAGTATATGCTCATTGGGTTATTGTAAGGATTACATGAGATAGTGCATGTAACCCTTATATGGTGCCTGGAAAACAGTAAGTACACAAAACTGTTAGCTCTTGTTGTTATTATTGTTGTTGCTATTAACAACCAGCCCAATCTGAAAATGAATGCTTAAATCCTCTTAATGACGTACTATCTAAGTGGTTGACCAGCTGTTATTTGAAAACCTCCAAAGGTTGGAAACTCCCTGCCTATATCTATGTATATTTATGGTTCTTAGGAAGTTCATTTATTCGGCTGAACCTTCTCCCACTGTGGCTTCTTCTGCCCCTTGGTCTTAGTTCTATCCCTTGGGAAGCTTAAAGAGCAGGGATAATCCCTCTTGTACATTGTACTAGTGAAGGCTTGGTTTTTATTGGAAGTAATGAAAACTAACTCTAGCAAGCTTTAGCATTAAAGGAAATTAACTAGAAAAATCCTGGGGCATTTGATTAATCAAGAAGAATAAGAAGGAGGAGGAGGAGGAAGAGGAAAAAGAGGAGCAGGAGGAAGAAGAGGGGGAAGAGGAAGAAGAAGAGCAGGAGGAGAAGGAAGGGGCAGAGGACTCATCATCAGCCTCCAGGAATGCAGGAACTTGATCAGGCTTGGACCTACCTCATCAGAAGGAGTCATCAAACCTTCTGTTTCTAGCATCACCATTGACAAATCTTGTCTACAGCTCCAAGAATCTTATTGGCTCAGCCTAAGTCAGGTGTCTATCCCTGGGCCAATCAATTCTGGCCAGGGACAGAGACACCTACTGAAGATCACGGTGATGGAGGCTTACCTGTGTATGAGTAGTAGGAAACCATCCCAAAGAAGGGTAAACTGTTGTGAATGGAGCAGCCTCCCAGCCAGGCTATGGGAAATCCCAAGCCACATGAGTAAACCATGGCACAATCCTCTAGATATTTGCAGAAGCTGTTCTCTAGGGTAAATATCCTCAGTCCTTTCCACCACTAAGATTGAATTAATGAAACATACTTGTGTGATTATTTAGTGTTTTCACTAGAAAGTTGAGCTTTATGAAGACAGAAGACCGTGTCAATCTCATTCACCAACATATCCCAGCAGTTAGCCAGAGGTTTGACCGCTGCAGGTACTCAAATAACAGCTGAATTCATTAATTGACTGATTAACTCATTATGTATCATTTTTGAGAACTTTCTGGTTACTCACTTCCAAATATGGCTTTATCTGTCTCAGTCAGTTTCTATTCATGGTGAGAAGCTCCACTGTCAGTGTCCTATTTTATCTGCATAACATAGGAAGGAAGGTAAAGTAACTCACAAGTCTTATTTTCAGTCACATAAAAATTTTATTTGCCCATCTGTTTTAGTTAACTATTCCTACATAACACACTCCAAAACATAGTGGCTTAAACCTACAATAGTCATTGACTTGGCTCATGAATCTACAAGTTGGGCAGGGCATGATGGGATGGCTCATCTCTGTGCCACATAGCATCAGCTGGAGTAGTCTGGCTGGGGATGGGAGAATCCATTTCCAAGATGTCTGGTAAGTTGATGGTGGTTGTCAGCTGGAAACTCAGCTGAGGATGTAGACCACGAACTCAGGTCCTCTCCACAGTTACCTCTTCATAGGCTGCTTGGACCTAGTCACAACACGGTGCCTGGGTTCCAAGAAAGAGTGTCCCAAGAAAGCAAGAGACAGAAGTTCATGGCATTTTTTATAATGCAACCTCAGAACTCACATAGCAACACTTCTACCATATGCTAGTGGTCAAGGAAGGGAAAGGGACATCGACCTCACCATGCTATCGAAGAAGTGGCAAGGTCACACTGAAGAAAGAGCATGTGGAATAGGAGATATAATTGAGGCAATCTTTGTAACACACAATCTGCCACATCACCTCTCCTCTTGTATACTGGGCCATTAAGTTGAGTTTCAGCATTGCCAATTAAACTCTGTTGACTGGTCCTCTACTCAGTCATCACTTTTTGAATCATCTATACCAGGCTTAGGATTAAACCCTGGAAGTACACAGATAAATGAGAAAATTCTCTTCCACTGGGAGTTCACAGATGGGTAGAGAAGATGGATAATGAAACTCCAATGGGATGAATGATTCAGCCAAGGTCTGCACCAGGCAGTATTGGCAGAGAAAGAAATGATGAATTCTGTCTAGAATGGAGGCTAAATCCTAGTTTATCTAAACACTTTTCTTTAGTGGACCTGGGTTCTATCCTTCCACTAGGTTACCATTTTCAGAGTTAATATGTATTACTTTAGATGAGCGTGCAGACAGCCAGATTGTCCCTGTTGTATTTTGTGGGAGCCAAACCAACCACAATCAAAAAGGATGGGACTGCTTGGCTAACAAAGGGAGTAGCAACTGGGAATGATGTCTTGGATTTAATAGGTCCTCCTGGGAGTCTTGAGTTTTCCATAGAAGAGAGAACCTTTCAAAGCAAGTGATAATAATAATAGTAATTTTTTTCTAATACACTTTTGTTTTCAGCACACTTTTAGCTTTACAGAAAATTTGAGAAGACAGAAGAAAGAATTCCCATATTCCTTCTTATTCCCACTTTCTCCTATTCGTAACATCTTACGTTGGTTTGGTATATTTATGATAATGAAGGATATTGATATATTATTATTCACTGAAGTCCATTGTTTATTCAGAATTCTTTCATTTTTACCTACTTCCTTTTTCTGTTCCAGGATTTCATCCAGAGCACCATATCCCGCTTAGTTGATGAGCCCCTTTTGGTTATTAGCAGTTTCTCAGGCTTTCCTTGTTTTTGATAACCTTGACAGTTTTAAGGAGTACTGGTCACGTATATTGCAGGATTCCTCTCTATTGGGATTGGCCTGATGTTTTTCTTATGATTAGACTGGGGCTATGGGTCTTTGGGAGGAAGAGCACAGGGAGAAACTGCCTTTCTCATCGCATCATATCAAGGGCACTTAGGATCCGCATGATTTATCACTGTTGATTTTAACCTTGATCACCTGGCTGCGGTGGTGTTTGTGAGATTTGTTCCACTATACAGTCACTCTTATTTTCTCTCCCTCTTCACACTGTACTCTTTGGAAGAAAGTCAATATATGCAGCTCACATTGCAAGCGTAGGCAGCTTTGCTTCTCCTCCTCGAGGGCAGAGTGTCTATATAAATTATTTGGAATTCTTCTGCATAAGAGATTTGTCTCTTCTCCATTTATTTATGTGTTCAATTATTTATTTATACCAGTAGGACTCATGGATATTTATTTTATACTTTAGGCTCTAATCCAGTCCCACTCTATTTTGTTGCTCAAAGTATTCCAGATTCAGCCATGGAGAGCTCTTTCCATTGGCCTCCCTGTCGCTTTGACTTCCTTCCATCATTGAGGGTAACGATGACTTTTTGCATACGTTTGGCTAGCACTTGAATGGAAAGGCTGTATTCTTACATGTTGATATGGTTTGGATCTGTGTCCCCACTCAAATCTCATGTTGGATTATAATTGCCAGTGTTGGAAGTGGAGTCTGATGGGAAGTGATTGGGTCATGGGGGCGGATTTCTCATGAATGGTTGAGTACTATCCTCTTTCTGCTGCCCTCGCGATAGTGAGTGACTTCTTGCAAGAGCTGGTCATTTAAGTGTGGCACTGCTTCCACTCTCTGTCTCTTGCTCCTGCTCTCTACTCCCGTCACCTTCCACCATGATTGTAAGCTTCCTGAGGCCTCCCCAGAAGCCGAGCAGATGTTGTTGCCATGCTTCCTGTACAGCCTGCAGAACCATGAGCCAATTAAATCTCTTTTCTTATAAATTACCCACTCTCGGGTATTTCTTTATAGCAATGCAAGAACGACCGAATACACATGTATTTCTAATTTAATTATTCAAATAAGCCTATGATATAAGTGCCCTCATTGGCAAATAAGGAAAGTAAGATGCAGAGGAGTTCAGTAAGTTGTTGATAGGTACAAAGGACACCGGAGCCACCTGGAAGGGGGTTCCAGTGGCCAAAGGCAGTGGCAGCTATATCAACTAGCTTCTGTTCTCCACCCCAGCACCCAGTATGTACAGTCAAGAGGAAAAGCTGGCCAGAGAAAACCACCCACATGGAGGTGTTACAGACTCTTGTGTGCTGCCTCCTCACAGGAAGTTGTGGAAAGATGTGATGGACACGTAGGGATGGATGCTAAAGCTGACATTTCTGAAATCCAAAGGGGGAATATGTTGGAGCTTGAGTGGGTCTTCTTGGAGTCCCTCAAATTAGATTGTGTGAGCTCACTCCACCCACTGAGGAGCAAACCCTCCACACAACACACTCCCTTCCAAACCTTGGAACTCAACCCCCTCCATGTTCCCCTGCTACCCTGCAAGATGCCAAAACAGCTTCAAGGAAGTCTGCTGAGAATTGCTCATCATTTTTACACTTGGTTGGATAAAGCCCAGAGCAGAAAACAAAACAGAGACCCAGATCCCCTTTTGAAAGCCCCACAGTAACCAGAGATCAGGTCCAAAGACAGAATCCAGAGTTTCTGTGCTGCTGTGTGCCCAGGAAGCTTGGGTGAGCTGTTTTCGGCCATCCCATCAAGCACAGACTGGAATTATAATGTAGAGTGTTGGCTCCTTTTCCCCCAGGTTGAGCAGCAAATGTCCTTCCTCTTGCAAATTATACCCCATTCTTCCAATGCTACCTGCCTGCTTCCTATTGGTTAGAAGGCAACAGCATCTTGCACAATAAAATTCAATTTTAGCAATTTCTCCACTGCCTCCGAGAAAGGGAGGAAAATTCTCAGTATGAGGGCAGCTTTTCTTTATCGGCTTCTGCTTTGGAAGATGACAACATCATCCTTTAGATTTCTTAAGGAAATAGAGCAGAGCCAAAGTAGACTGTGGCATCCAGCTGGGGTTTAAGACCTTGTTCATAATGCCTAAAGAACTTCAAAAAGTTACAAGGACAATACCTACTGTAATATGCTCATTGACATCCAAAGGAGTCCAAGAAAAGTAGGTCGTGGGTATAATGAGAGGCAAAAACACTGATAAATGGAGGGGGAGACACATCGGTGTGTCCCTGGGAGCTGTTGCTTTCTACTTTAAGAAGAAAATTGGATGGGAGCAGTGGCTTTCAGAAGACGTCAAAGCTGCCTCAAAACTCTGGCAGGAGCTAACTTTGTTTTCTAAATTTAAAGACATTGCAGCTTCTATAATTTGTCTCCAATAAAGCTATGCCATTTTTTTTAAGTCCTGGCTTTCTTGCTAACTCACTGTGTGGACACAGTTATTCTCTTTGAGAATATTCAGTTTACTCATCTGTAAAACGGAGACACGGCACATCCTTACCTGAAAGGTTCCCTCATCAGGCACTTCAACAAGGTACATACATATGTAAGATGCCCAGGGCCCTCCAAGACAAAGAAGAGGTCCACGCCTGTAATCCCAGCACTTTGAAAGGCCAAGGTGGGTGGATGACCTGAGGTCAGGAGTTTGAGACCAGCCTGGCCAATATGGTGAAACCCCATTTCTACTAAAAATACAAAAATTAGCCAGGCGTGGTGACAGGCGCCTGTAATCCCAGCTACTTGGGAGGCTGAGGCAGGAGAATCGCTGGAACTTGGGAGGTGGAAGTTGCAGCGAGTCGAGATCGTGACATTGCACTCCAGCCTGGGCAACAAGAGTGAAACTCCAGCTCAAAAAAAAAAAAAAAAAAAAAAAAAGACAAAGCAGAGGTTGTTCTCATTTTCCAGAAACTTAAGACCTAACAGAGAAAGAGAGAAAGTGACGTTCATATAAACACACCATAAAAAATAGTCTGGAATACACACATGAACACGAAAGCATAAGCACCAGAGCTGTTGGCAGCTTGCAAACTTTGCATTTCTTCCTGACCAACATACTCTCCAGAAAACAGCAGTTAAATCACTTTAAAGAAAAGGGGATTATTTTCAGGCAAGGACACGTCCCTCTGGATTATGTCAAGGCCATCAGCCAAAGCTAAAAAGTATCTTGATCTTTTGCTGTGCTCTTCTCTGTAAACTTTTACCTTTGGACTATGGCCCATTTGCATGACTTTGACCCAAGGAAGGAGAGGGGAAATAAATCAAAGTGAGTTTTTTCTAGTGGAAGCAGCTATATTTAAAGGTCTCATTGAGTGCTCATTCATTCAACAAACATTTACTGAAATGTACTAGATGGTCAAGTACTATACTAGGTACTGAGAATACAATGGTGAGCCAAATACAGCCTGGAGGAAGAGCTAAAATATTTTTAAGTGAAATTATGACACAGTACTACAAGCTCTGGGATAGGGTAAACACAAGACACTGTGGGAGCCCAGATAATGCACCTCCTCTCCCATGAAGCAGTCAGGAAAGACTTCCTGGAGGAGGTGACATGAAAGCTGAAATCATCAGGACTGGTAGGAGTCGGTTGGGTGAGGGAATGTGATGAGTGGGTTCAGGAAAGGGGAATATCAAGTGCAAAGGTATAAAGGTGGGAGTGGACATATTACATTACATTTCACCACGCCCGGCTAATTTTTGTATTTTTAGTAGAGATGGGGTTTCACCACATTGGCCAGGCTGGTCTCAAACTCCTGACCTCAGGTCATCCACCTGCCTCAGCCTTCCAAAGTGCTGGGATTACAGGCGTGGACCTCTACATTACGTTACATAACTGGGGAGGAGGTAGGGCTGAAACATGAAATTGCAGAGATCAGTCTGGGTATATTATGGAAGTCAATGAATGACCAGACGTAGATATTAAGGAGAGAAGTGCCAGGATCAAATTTGCATTTTACGAAGAGTTCTGTGGCTGGCAACAGCACAGAATATTAGGTAGGGAAATAAAATTTAAGGATGCCCTAGAGATCTCAATCAGCAGTGAAGATGACCGCCATTTGTAGCAAGTGTTCTACTACATATACTCCCACATACACCTTTCATACTTAGAACAACCGAGTGCAACTATCCCTATTTTACAGATAAAGGAATAGAACCTCCAAAACAGAGTTTCTCAACCTCGGCCTCATTGACATTTTGGTCCAGGTAACTCTTTGCTGTGTGGGAAATGTTCTGCGCATTGTAGGAAATTTAGCAGCGTCCTGAGCTCTACCCACGAAATGTCAGCAGAACCTTCCCACCAAATGTGACAACCAAAAACACCCCCAGATGTTGCCAAAAGTCCCCTGGGAGGACACAATGACTCCCTGACTGATAACCACTATTCTAAAAGATCCAACCCCACAGTTCACCCAAGCGAGGATGCTAACTGGGTCCTCTGTCTCCATCAAACACACTCCCTGTCCATGCCCGCCTCATCCCTCATGGCCTGGGAAAAGACGTCACATGCATCCATTTGCCTCTAAACGACTGAAGTTTTCACTGGGAAAAGTTTTAAGAACAGATGTCACTTTCCCTAGTCATTTTGATTTTTTTCATACATTAAAGTGAGGATGACTTTTTTTTTTTCCTATCAGCTAAAAATTGTTACCACACTGGATGCAAAAGAGTTTTCTCTCATTACATGTGCAATTCTATACATTTTTCTTCAAACCAGCAGAGCACTGGCACCAAATATGAGGATGATTCATGTGACATCATGGTCATTCCTGCCCAATTCCAAGGGTATTTGCCGGTCTTGGGCACTGCCGTCCATTTGATGATTTGAAGTTTCCTTCCATAAATGTGCAATTTTTAAAAAACCAAATCATTCCCCTTATGGATCTGCATCAGAAAGTTTGCTTTGTGATGAAATCTGCAGATGCAAAAAAAAAGTGGGGGGTGGATTTCACAGAGCAGGTACACGCAGCAAGAGCATGACTGAGCCAATTTCCTCTGTTCCCTCTTCATGTGAAAGTGCGGCGGATGTGGAGACTGTCTTCTCAAATTACCCCGCCAGACAAAGAGAGAGTTTTTTAGAAGAGTCCCGAGCATGTAATTTTATTACTTTAGCATCAATTGTAATGTAATTCATGTAATTTCTTTTGCGGAGAAAAGTCATTTTCCTAAATACTTGGCAAAATGAGAGCTGATGGATTTTTGACTTCCACCAACTCTCTCTGTAGAATTTTCCACTATAAAAGGAAACATATAGAGCTGCTCAGTGCAAATGGCCTCACCTGGAAGCAGAAAGGGTTTTTAGGCCCTTTCAAACTTGGTGATTTGTTTCCTTTTTTGTTTGTTTTTTTGTTTTTGTTTTTTTTGAGATGGAGTCGCCCTCTGTTGCCCAGGCTGGAGTGCAGTGACATGATCTTGGCTCACTGCAACCTCCGCCTCCCAGGTTCAAGAGATTCTCCTGCCTCAGCCTCCTGAGTAGCTGGGATTACAGACACCCACCACCACACCCGCCTAATTTTTGTATTTTTAGTAGAGAAGGGGTTTCACCATGTTGCCCAGGCTGGTCTCAAACTCCTGACTCTGTCACCACTCAAAGGTGGATTCACCCACCCTCAGCCCTACCCTAGAGTCAGCTGGCTACGAAGTCTGCCCAGCTCAAGCTTGGCTGATATAGCTGGATGCCGCCACCATGCTGGTATTTTTTTTTTTAAGATGGTTATTCCCAGTAGAGGACCATCCTCTCCAAAACTGGCCCTTGCTTATTATAAAGATCAAACCAAGGTCAAATTTGGTGAGGTTTTTAACCTCCACATTACTGGCATTTGGGGTTGGATAATTCTTGTTGTGGGGGCTGCCCTGTATTTCGTCAGATGTTTAGCAGCATCCCACTCTGCTCATTTGATGACAGTTACACATCACTCCAGTTGTGACAACTGAAAACATCTCCATTTGTTGTCAAATATGATAAACAGTGAATTTTGCCTCTTTGTTCCAAGAGCTCCCGGTCCTATTCCTGGGACCTGTGTAAGTATTGGAGGGGAGGAAGCGGCATTCGACACTCAAAACGAATTCATGGACAACCAAGAGTTAGTTGCTAATGGAGAATTAAAAAGATAAACATACCAGGTGTCTCACACGACCACATCCTGCAGTTCCTCTCCAGAACCTAAAGGTCCATCTGCATAGCAAGAAGCCAGACTCCAACATTATTTTCTTTTCTATTATGTTCTCAACAAATGTGGGCTTTTTCATTTTTTAATTTTTGTGGGTACATAGTAGGTGTATATATCTGTGGGGTACATGGCATGTTTTGGTACAGGTATGTTTTGATACAGGCATGTTTTGGTACAGGCATGTTTGGATACAGGCATGCAAAGCATGACAATCACATCATGGAGAATGGGGTGTCCATTCCTTCAAGCATTGATCCTTTGTGTTACAAACAATCCAGTTGTACTCTTTTAGTTATTTTTAAATGTATAATTAAGTTATTATTGGTTATAGTCAATGTGTTGTGTGCTCAAATAGTAAGTCTTACGCATTCTTTCTAACTACTTTTTTTTGTACCTATTAACCATCCTCATCTTCCACTCCCCAAACCCCCACTAACCTTCCCATCCTTCTACTCTCTATGTCCATGAGTTCAATTGTTTTGATTGTTAGATACCACAAACAAGAGAGAATATGCAGTGTTTGTCTTTCTGTGCCTGGCTTATTTCAATAAATTTTAATATAGTCTACTATATACCAGGTACTGTTCTAAGTGCTCTAAAGCAGCAACTCATTGGATCGTCATAATAATCCTATAGGATAGGTACTATTGTCACCCCATTTCACAGATTTGAAAACCATACCTCAGAGATATTAAGTAAGAGCTAATGATGAGCAAACTGGAATTCAGACTAAGGCATTGGATTACATAGTCTGCACCCTTTTCTTTTTTTTTTTGAGACAGAGTCTGGCTCTGTCAGCCAGACTGGAGTGCAGTGGCGCAATCTCAACCCACTGCAACCTCCTTCTCCTGGGTTCAAGCAATTCTCCTGCCTCAGCCTCCCAAGTAGCTGGGGCTACAGGCATATGCCACTATGTCTGGCTAATGTTTTGTATTTTTAGTAGAGATGGGGTTTCACCATGTTGGCCAGGATGGTCTTGTTCTCCTGACCTCATGATCTGCCTGCCTTGGCCTCCCAAAGTGCTGGGATTACAGGCATGAGCCACTGAACCCGACCCTATAGTCTGCACTCTTACTCAGTAGGCTGTGGTGAGTAAGTTAGGTACTGGGGAAAGGGAAATAAATTTGGAGTCAGATTCACCTGGTCTTACCTTCTGGCTCTGTCACTTACCAGCTGGTGAACTTGGGCAAGTTGCCCGATGTCTCTGAGCTTCAGCCTATTATGCACAAAATGA